AATTTCTCCACGCAACATTCGCCCCTCCAATATTTCAGAAGATAATTTTTGAATGCTGGCAAAATTGTCAAACTGATTTTTCTTTTCTCGATAAGTGCGATACCCGGTACATAGATCTAGTGGAATACCATCGTTTATTTTTTGGATGATGGACATAGCCTCCGCCTCGCGCAGCGCAACTGTCGGGAGTAAATTCAATTGACCGGAATTCTTCTTGTAAATGTACTTACCCGTGATGTAACAAGGCACTTGATACTTCACAAACCACTTCTTTGATAAATCTCTGTCTAAGGGGTACAATTTTGGGGGGCATTTTTTTTTCTCCATAACGTCTTAATTTTTTGACGTATAGAGCATTTGGTCAACTCTCAATTTTTAAAATTCTGAAACCCTTATGAATAAAGGGTTTCAGAAAAATAGGGTGGATGATGGGATTCGAACCCACGACCAATGGAACCACAAACCACTACTCTAACCAACTGAGCTACAACCACCGTTTATGGTGCGAATATAGTATTCTCGAAATTATTTCAAAACAATAATTACAATTTTGATGTAATCGCACTCGCGTCTATCTTTGTAATCAGTCCTTGAAGTACGTTTCCGGGGCCACATTCAATAAATTCTTGAGCGCCATCAGCTACCATCTGTTGAACAAGTTGTGTCCAAAGCACAGGAGCCGTTAACTGTGTAATCAAGTTTTGCTTTATAGTTGCCGCCACAGACGAAGCTTTTGCATTACAATTTTGGTAAACAGGGCAAATGGGTGCACTGAACGTTGTATCTGTTATTGCTTTCGCTAACTCTTCCCGGGCAGGAGCCATTAATGGTGAATGAAAAGCCCCTCCTACTTGTAATTTTAAAGCACGACCAACACCTGCTTCCTTTAATTTATCAATGGCTATATCTATACCTGCAACAGAACCTGAAATTACCAATTGCCCAGGACAGTTATAGTTAGCAGGCACAACAACTTCTTCTTTAATTTCAGCACAAATAGTTTCAATCTGTTTTTCATCCTGATAACGCAAAACAGCAGCCATTGTTGAAGGCTGAAGGTCACACGCTTTTTGCATAGCTTTTGCCCGTAAGGAAACCAATTTTAAACCGTCTTCAAACGACAAGCATTCGTTAGCCACCAAAGCCGAGAACTCGCCTAACGAATGACCGGCCACCATTTGCGGTGTATTCTGCTTCAAAATTAAAAAAGAAATTACCGAATGAATAAATACAGCCGGTTGTGTAACTTCGGTTTTCTTTAAATCTTCGTCTGTTCCATTAAACATTATATCTGCAATGTCGAAACCGAGTATTTCATTGGCTTTTTGAAAAAGTTCTTGTCCAAGCGCTGAAGCATCATACAAATCCTTCCCCATGCCTTTGAATTGCGCTCCCTGTCCGGGAAAAACATACGCTACCATAGTACTTAACTAAGTTTACTGGAAATCAATTTAATAAATTCACTACGGGTAACCGAATCTTCGAATTGCCCGTTAAATGCAGAAGTAGTGGTAA